CATTCAACCAATATTTACTGAGCACCTACTATGTGCCAGGCATTGTTCTAGGCTGTGGAGATACAAGTAGTAAGCAAGATCAGCCTTCTTACAGAGGAGCCAGTCAAAACAAACATATCCATAGTTGATATAATTTCATGTAGTGATGCTATTCTGAGAAGGAAAAAGGTAATTACATTTTAGGAACAATTGCGGGAAGAAGAGGGTGATTTTCTTTTATCTTTTTTCCACAAAGCATAGTTTCCTGCCTCCTAGTACCTATCTCTTCTAAAGGTAGCATTTTCTCCCATCTTTGATCCTTGATTCCTCCAGGTTTTGTGCTTTTTTTTTTTTTTTTTTGCCAAATTCTATTATCTCTTCAAAGTGTCAAAAAATGCATCTCCTCCTCACTTTTCCAGAATCCCACAGACACCCATCACCTCATGCCTAGACAGCTGCAATGACTTCCTAATTGGTCTCCTTACCTCTAATCTCTACACACTTTTCTCCCTCACCCCCTTCCACTTTCTAGCCTGTGTAGATTATTCTTCCTAGGATGTCACTGCCCCCATCACATCACTTTTCAACTCCACTTGGAGTTCCAGGACCACAGTGAGGTGTCCTGAATAAATACCTGGGCTTTAGAGTCAGGCAGCCTGGAATGGATAGTCTGTGTGTGCCTCAGGTTCCTCTCTGTAAAATGCAGATGGTAATTCTCGGCCCATGAGAGGTCATCAGAGGGAAATGAGAAGAGGTGTGGGAAGCACCAGTTCAATTCCCGGCTGGGGGACTCTCACAACGGAGACAGCGTCCGACCCTTGGTGAGTCAAGACAGTCCATCGCTCTCTTGTTGCAATCCTTTAGAATGCCTTTGGTGATGAACTGCCGTGTTAATGTCATTTTTCTTATCTCTCCAACTAGTCTGACAATTCTCTTAGGAAAGCTGAGGCTTTTCTACTCAAAACCTCAGGGAATTCTGCACATAGTAGGCATTCTGGACTGCCTTCATGATTGGGCAAGTTGGGCCTGCATCAGAGTGCCTGGCCAGGGTGGCAAGTTGGGCTGAAAGGCAGGATGTAGGTGTCCATGCTATCCTCTCAAGTTGGAACTGAAATTTCAACCCTGTGAAGACCTCCCTGACATCTCCCTGTGCCCACTTCTCTTTGGTGACACACAAAGTTGTTGATAATCATCGGTCTGTGCGTCTCTCTTCTAGTCAGGCTGTGCTTCCTAGGGGCCAGTGCTCTGTGTTCATATAGTTAATTCAGGTACCTGGTACTTAGAAAAACGTTCAATAATGGTTACAGAATGCAAGATGACTTTCAAGGAAAGTTCGAATGAGAGGCAGAAAACGTACAGCATTAGGACAGAGTTACACATAAAATTTAGAAAGGAGACTTGAAGTGGGAGGAGTGCGGAGGCTGTGATTCCCAGTTACTACTCCGAGTGTGACCATTAAAATGCTAGCTCAACCATAAGGTACAAAAGACCTACAAAGCGGAATCTTCACATCCATGGATGACTACAGACTTTGTTATAATCTGTTACTTTTTTATTTTTAAAAATACTATTTTATTTATATTCACATATCAAAAATGGTTATACTATCATGTTTACATACATACTAATACTAGGGAACAGAATTCAGTAACAAATTACATTTAAACTTTATAAAGCACATACAAACATTAAAACACTGATTGGTTACAGAAAGCAGAGTTTGAGGGAAAACCGTTCGCTATAGTTTTCATTTTCATTAAAGAGCAGCACCCTCTGAGAAGAATCAAACCAATCAGTAACAGTCATCTAGACAGCAAAGTAGTAAGTACAAAGGAAAGTTAGTGATTGTACTGATTTTATTACTTTTAGTAAGCCATTTTATGTTCCTCACATTCAATGTGAAGAAACAAAACATAATCTGAAGGAAAATATGTCCTTATTATTATTCATAATAAGAAATCTGCTTCATTCTGCAGGCCTAGGCAGATTGTACATTAAGGAGCACTTAATGGCTCAAGTGGACCAACGTACCAGTTTGATTTTGATCCACGGAATAGAATCGCATCCATATTTGGTGGCTGGACTAACTCCATGGGAGCTGTGACAGGCTGAACCATTTTTGTGGTATCCCCAGATCTCACTAAATAAGAAAAGACTCTACACCAGAAAATATAACAATCAATCTGTCCATAAATTATATCTATATGCTTGCTCTTCAGTATAAGTTAGAAAAAGGGGCGCTTTCTTGAGCACACGGATAAAAGTATTGTGGTCTAAAGATTGCTGGATTGATACTGTGTTGTTATAATAAAGATAAGGTACACATTGAAACCACTGTCCGATTAAGAAACTTCCACAACTTGTCTCAATTCTTCAAATAATGGAGCAAGTTTCTTTTCCAGGCTGACAATTAGTCCTGTATTGGCATGGCTGCAGCCTATGAAACTCACCACCAAATTTAATTGAATCACCTGGTAGGTGTAACAGTAACAGCTGATACTTTTATTTTTTGAAAGTCCGAGTTTGCTCCCTCGGTCTGTTGCAAGGGCAAAAGCAGATAAGAAACCAGGTCTCAAAGCATGCTTTGGAGCATTATCATCGGCCACTTTAATAAGGGGTCCTCCAACTCTGTCTGACACAATAGCATGGAGCCCTTCAACACTTGGTAACATTTTATACATGTATCCCTTTAAGTCATCCGCCATGATGAGCCCCCGTCTCTTGCAGGATCAATTTCCATGCCTGGGTTTTTTGGGCTGCCCGGATCTTTTCCCTGTCACTTCAGGGACAGCTTCAAAGACCACAGTCTGGTTTTATGCTGGGTATATGGCAAATGCAAAGAATTGGCCCTCTTTTGTGGAAACGAAGCTGCGCTTTCTACCACTGTTTTATAGGCTGAAGGAACTCATGTTAGACCAAGACTTTATAACCTTTCAGGTAACAGATCTCGGTTTTGCCGTGGTTTTGAGGTCCTGAACCAAAATTTCACTGCGTGTTCTACCAAATCACAATCTCTGAGTCTCTCCTCTCATATGATTTCCGTAACAGAAAGTTTTGGTGGAAGTTCTATTAAGCAGTGAAACCACAACCAATCAAGAAAGCACCGAGAAAGATAAAGCAAAGTCTAGCTTTCCATTAACCAGGACAGTCAGCTTCTTTAAAATGGAGTGTCAACACTGCACATTCTGTCCTAGGCGAACAATTTTCTCCTTCTTGGAACTCACCAGATCTTACTGTTCTTGGGTGTAATGGATTAACTTTCTACACTAGCCTTGAGGAATACATAATAGGAATTATATCAGTGACAGACTAATATTTAAGCAGGAAAAAGTAATCACCGTGCAGAAATATCCTGGTATGTAAATGAGAACGTACAGAAAAAGGCAGACTAGACCAAAGCCTTGCCAAGAGAATTCCGCGAACTGAAAAAGACTCCACGCCAGAAGCAGGAGCCAGCGCTGCAGAGGTTACAATTTCTTTCTCTGCGTTGTGTCCTCCGCATTGTGCTCATATACCAGAAGAAAACCGAGATAGTAATTGGGCCATTTCTTTTCTTGATTTAATTTTACAAAACTTGGGCCACAAGGTATCAATTCTGAGGCCCTAATTAGTTTACTGGCAATGAAGTCCACATCCAGCATAATCCTTAAAATATAAGCTGTAGCCCTTACCAGTCCCGCTGTTTGCTGGTGTTTCTCACCCAGCACAATCTCAAACCGAACACTTCGCCGGGAGCAGAGGTATCTGGGACCGTGTAGAAAGACGACTTTGAGGTTAAGGCATGGTATTTAAGGTTCTGCTACAAATGCTGTTTTAAACAAATCACGGTTCAACTACAACGGTATAATAATGCAAAAATAGCATCTGCTATGAAGAAAGTGCAGTGCTTTGAGAACTAGAAAAAGCAGTGAAATCCAAGGCCTTGCTTTACAAGTCAGAGCAGCTATCTCGGCCTTCTGGAGGTGTGACTTTCCTACACACAGGAGCAAGTTGAAAACTGCCCTGTGTGGCTTTATTCTCCGTCCACCCCTGTAGCAAATGCCTTTTCTGTGAGGAGCTACGGGGCTGATGGGGAATCAGAGGTGGTTCCTCCTAAGTGGCATTTCTGAGTGGGTTCCAGGAGTCCACAGCGACCTTAGGAGGCTGCTACCTGGGGGGCAGCCAGGGCGTGAGATGAGAAAGTTGTACATTAACATTTCTGTGTGCCCATAACGTTGTATCTTTTATTAGATTAGATAATATATCTCACATGCTGGGTTGTTAAGCAAATAAATATGCGTAAGGAAATTACAATCCACATAATTACATGAGTCGTTTTAACCATCACTTACCCTCAGAGTGGTTAGATTTTCATGTGCCTATGCCAGTGCGGCCCAGCAGCTCTGTCACTGTCAATGCGGGTAGAATCCCCTTTACTCCGAAAACCAAATGAGGAACAAATAAGGCCAGTGAGAGTCACCATCAGGGCCCAGAAACTCGACAGAAACAGCGACTCAGTGGGGTCTCCAGACTGATGGGGGGTGACCCTGTATTCCTGTTGGGCTGACAACCCTTTTAAGGCTTCGGGCTCCAGGTGCTGGCAACAAGTCTCAGAGGCCGGGTGGGAGAGGGAGACGCGAGGCGACCCACGCAGGCAGAAGGCTGCCTCAACCCCCGCCAGGACCCCCCAGCAGGCCGGGGTTGCAGGCAGGGGCCTAGCCTGGGGTCACGCAGGGGGAAGGAGAGGGCAGCCCGGGGCTACGGGTGGGGCGGAGGCGAGAGCCGAGCTTACTCCCCCCACCCCGCCCCCGCGCCGCGAGTTTCCGCGCACGTGGCCGTGGGGCCGGCCTCGCACTCGCCCCCCGCGGGGGCCCGCGCAGCCCCCTCCTCTGCGGCTCCCGGAGCGGCCCGCGCGCGCTGCGACGGGCGGGGGCGGGCCGCGAGCAGGGCTCCCTGGCCGCTTTCCAGGTCGGCGCACTAATACGGGCGATGAGGCTTCGCGGCTCCAGTCTGACTGACGCCGGCTGGGGCCGCCGCCGCCGCCGCCGCTGCAGCCGCTGTCTCGGTCCCCGCCGCCGCCGGGCCCTGCAGGCGCTGGGCGCGCGCAGCCAGGCAGTGAGTGCGCGGCGCTAGGCGCGGGCGGCCGGGGGACCACCGCGGGGGCGGGGTGGGGGGCGCCGGACCTGGGTGGGGGAGGGATGAGCGGTACCGCGGGGACAGGTAAGACGCGCCCTCCCCGGCCGCGCGCTGCGTGTGTGCGTGCGTGTGAGCGCGTGGAGTGGAGGGCGAAGTTGTTGGTCCTCGGGCAGCCGGGGAGGCTCCCCCGCGTGTGGCTGGGCGCTCGCCGCCCCGGTGTTTCTCGGTGGAGCCTGTCTGGGGCGGGGTGGGCTCGGGGCAGGAGGGGACCGCTCCGGGAGTTGGCCGCGGCGCGGCGCGTCTTCCTTACGCCTGCATCCGCCCGCGCCGCGGGCCCCGGGACCTGTCAGGGGATGCTCGTCCCGTGGCGGGGGCGGGGGCGGCGGCCGGGCCGGAGCCGGGGCCGGGGCTGGGGCTCGGGGCGTGGGCAGGGACCAGGACAGTCGCCTGAGGAGCTGCTTGCTGTAGCTGGAGAGCGGGGACCGCGGACAGAGGGGGCGGCGGGGGTCGTCATTGTGACTCTTTGGGGGCCGCTTTTAAACTCGCCAGGGCCGAGTTGGCCTCACTGGCCTTCTGTTTCAGAGGCTTTTCGCTTTGTTTACCTTTGTGGCATGCGAAGTGAGAAAAAAAAAGTTAGGAATGTTGTTCAAGTGTCTCCGGGCTCGCGCTTGGACTGCGTCGGAACCGGGTGTTTGTCTTTTCCTTGGCCCACCCCTCGGTGCCAGCTCTCTGCAGAGGGGAGGGGGCGAGGTGGGGCGCAGATACAGGAGACTGCCTGACGCCAGCTTTGTGATCAGGAGGAGGAGCGCGGGGAAAACATTTTTATGGATGGCTAATCGCTGACAAGTCTTCCCGTTACTATTGCTTCCTCCTCCCGCCCCTGACTGTGGACATTTGAAATGATAGTTTGGAAATATTCCGTTGACTTATTTTCTGGGCTGGCGTGGGTACTCCTGAGGACAGACCTAGAAATGATACAAATCGGTTTGGGGATAAAATTGTATGTAAATTCTTTACCCTGTAGTTCACAGTGAGATACCCATAGGGCATTATGGCATGCTTTGGATGGATCCAGTTTGCTAGTACCATTTCGGTGGCTTGCCAGATTTCTCGGATGGATGATTTTTTGGAAATGTAGGTTAGCAAGAAGCATGGAGGCTGACCGTAAAGTCGTGAGGCATTTAATAATGCTGTCTCCTAAGCAGTCACTGAGTGGAACGTTTGTGGCACCCTGGGTAAGTGAAATGTGACTACTACAAGCATATCTCCTGCCTAAGCATTCCTTCAAGTGCGAGGGAATGCCTTTGGATGTTTACATTTTAAAAATAGTGATCTATATTTAAGAAGGCATTTAAAATAAAAGCCAAAGACATTCTCAACTCCAAATAGAAAAGATTCAATAAATGAGTTTTCCTGTGTTTGTAGGAGACCATCAACACAATTTTAGACTGCTTTCAAGCTTGTGGTTATCCAAGAAGGACGCTTCAGATAAGAAAATGATGTAGCGCTTTATAAACAACGAGCATTTTAAATATAAGATGACAGAAATTTCAACTACTGTATCCCAAAAAACAACTTTTAGTGGTAATAGTCACCTTCATTGATGGCAAGACAACTATCTTTACCAGACAGCCTTCGGCCTCTTAATGTATTCCCACACAACCAACTCCCATTTTTATGCTTGACTGGTTATCTTTGTCAGAGCTGTTTAATGCTTGAGCTCTGTGGTTTCAAACTATGCTTAAGAGAATGCCAACATACTCTTGATCTGAACAAACTCATTTCTATCAGTGCAGTGTTTACGAAAAATCAAAGATGTAAACAAATTTTGGGTTAAACTAAGTACTTTAGAATTACCACATCGTTATCAGTCTTTCAAAGTCAACATGAACTATTTGGCTCTTCTCCTTTTAAAATCTTTTTTTTAACTTATATATTCACAGTTAATGAGTAATCGGAAAATACAGATGTCAACTCTTGCATCTCTGATTACCCAAGACGTGGGATGAGAAAGACAAGTTTTGTTTTTTAAATGAAACAGTACGAAAGCTATCAATAAGTAGTAAACAACTGGTACACTATTTATCTTCACTAACATGTAGTCAGTTGGAGGGAAAAAGGTCTGTCCAGAAATTGTTTTATAAAGATGAAAATATTCAACCTGTTTTACAAATAGTTTAATTCTGATTAATGAGAGTGCAATATGCGTTGCGAGACTTGAGGGACGGTGTTCGGAAGTGATCACTATAGCTCTAAGGTAACTAGTTCTACCTGACATTCTCCCTGTAATAAGACAGCAGTTTCATCATGTTCTGCTTTAATATGTGGGAAATAATCCTTATCCACAGGATATACTCTGATTTAGGGGAAGATAAAGGTTAGGAGAAATAACGTGGTTTTTCTGATTTGCCAAACATGCTATGCTGAATTTTAAAGCTTTAATGAAACTTAGTGCAGACTTAATGTGTATTGTTTTGGACACTTAGAGAGGAATTAAAAAATGGGAAACTGTCCAGAATAAAATAGTAAATATAGCAGTACGTTGAATCCATGAATCTTCTCAAATAGTTGTAATTCTAGGCTGTTGGATTTATATTTCCTCGCTTACTGTTGCTAGTGAGTTGAAAAGTTATTCTAAAGCAAAAAAAAAAAAAAATGCATAAGTACTTACAATAGTGTGGGCATTTTCACAATGTTTTGTGTTATCCTGGTAAATGTCCATGTCCTGAGTAAGGACATTGAAAAAATAAACAATTGTCCCCTGCTAATAAACTAACCTTTTAAAATAAATATTCCGGTAAATTATGTCTCTTAAGAAACTTGTCTTGACTAAAGCTGTTAGGATTTCAAGATATCTGTTAGAATTAGAAGTCATTATACCCATGAAGATTGGATGTTCCTCTTGCCTGGTGGTCTTCATCCTGACACTTCCCACCCCAGAACCTCGAGGGACACCTCAGCCACACTTGTGTGACTTACACTCTGCTCTCCTTTGGTGTTGGCCTCCTTTTGCGTTAAGGTTGATCCCAGACCACTTTCCCAGGCTTATCTTCCTGGTCTTTCCCTATTTTATGCTGCAATTAAAATAGAGAATGCTAGTTTCCGTGCATACCCTACCTTTCCTCCCTTGTACACCTTTACCCATGCTGAGGCCTTCCCAGCTTCCCCACTTCCCACCAGACCCTCAAATGTCACTCCTTCATCTTGTATGCCCTGTTCAGGCGCTGCCTTCGTGGAACTTTCTGTGATGACCCTGGTCCCAGATATGTCCTCCTTTGAGCACCTGTGGCTCTTCACCTTCTCCACTCTTGTCTTTCTTGTTTAGTATTAAGTTACTTATAGACTAATTTATTTTTCCCCTCAGACCATCCTTATAAGATCCGGGAAGGAAGGGCTGTGTTTCATCTACCTTTTTTATTCCCTGAATGCTGACTACAGTGCCCTTTATAGTACTCTATCAATAATGAATACATGACACATTTTTTCACCGAACCCATGGTCCCTTCTGAAATAAAATCTGTAAAAGCATTTCATCCATAAACTAAGTCTCAAAGATCCATCTTTCAAGAAGCCGGTGTTGAATCTGAGCTGAGGACTTGTTAAGAGGCCTGAAATCCCCTCAGCCCAGATGAGACCCTCCTTCTCCTGAATATTGTGGCTGAGCATTAACAATCAGGAAAGCTTCTATGATACTCTTATTGCATTAGCAATTTTCCATATCAGATTCACTAAATACACAATGGAAGCCATTTAGTAGAAAAACAGATTTTAATGTGATATGTCTACCACAATGAAACTCTAATGTGATTCCACAGAAAATTGCTAACACGATATGCTGATTCCTCCCCCACCACCATGGCCACATAAAAATTGATACTGTTTTTAGTGTATGTGTTTCAAACTAAGCTCACAAAAGAAAAGCAGACTGCTATTGAGATGAGCTGCTGCTTTGTTCACGTTGGATGTATAAAGGGTCTTGTTAGCGTAGCAGCCTTGTCAGAGAGCTGAATCTCCCTTCTGTGCCTTGGTCATTCTATTGTTGAACAGTACTAACCCCCATTTTTCATGGTCCGTTGTTTAATGATCCAGTATTAAAGTTAATATGATGTGAATAAATAGAATTTGCTTACAAATATTATGCCTGTATAACATATTAAATTGTGCTGTTTTAATTGGGAAGCTCCAATCAACTCAAAACCCATTTTTCAAGAATCAAAATGACCCCAATAGAAAATTTAAATTCAGAATTTAAAATCCAATGCATAAATTTTAAGAAATGGATTATAGATGTGTATGCACAAGGCAGTAACACTTTAGAAGTCATAAGCACTGAAGAGATTTTGGTTCTTCCCCCTCATTCCCCAGACAATATTTAATTCATAGAATGTTTAACCAAAGAATAATTGTAAAGGTGACCTACGTAGTCTGATTTTTTCCTGTAATGACAATTTCCAATTCTTTTTTAGATATGAAATATCAAGGTTTCTCTGTCTGTCTCGTTTTTTGGTATTCTGATTAGCTGATGCCACTGGTGGGGATTATTTTTATGTGAAATTCCCTTTGGGGAAATTTAATACCTAATATCTGATCACTTCCGTTTCTTTTTCATATTTAATTCTGAGGGACTATAAATAGAAAACGTGTACTCAATCCTGAGGAGAGTTTAGTGCTGCAGTTGTGAAAAGCAATCTTCAGTTTACAAACACTGGGAGTGCCAAGGATGACCATTCATTCCAAGACTCCATTTGCTAGTTTTCTATTGCTGAACAATGGAATCTGGATAGCACACATGTGGTCTTGGGCCACTGAAACGTGCTGGTGACATTGGGGATACTGAATTGAGGATTCTGACAACTTAGAATTTCCAGGTAGTGGCAGTGTGAACACTGTGAGGTACCAACATCCTGAACTTGCTGACCCTGAGAACATGGCCCTGGATAGACTGGGCCATTTGCCTTAAATTCTTGGTTTAGTCTGTG